GAACAAATGATGTAATGATACATTTCTCCAAATCTATTCCCATGAAGAAACAATCTCATCTACATCTTGGATGGCCTGAGGGTGAGGACATTTTCAGCTAAGTTTTATTTTTGGGTGAACAGAACTGTAATTCAGACATTCTACATTCATCACATAAAAACATTAACCAGACCCTTACAGAAAAGCTGTTCAAATCCCCTGAGGCTACACACCCTGCACATTTAGGAAATACAGGAAATGCTACTGTACTGTACTGCTGTTTAGAAGCATCATGATAAACATTTCCTGATTTTCCCCTGCTTTTGATAAAAAAGTGGCTGTTTTCAACAAAAATGCAATCCAACATGTTGTCTACAAGTATGTGATGTGTTCTGTTGAAAATATGTTCTTTGTAGTTAAGAATTCTTGACATGCTGTTGGTCGTCACAGACGCTGAACCACAAACATTCCTTTAAAGGGAACAGTCTGACCTAAAATCATAAATCTCTCTGCTTATGCCTATTTATGCACATATATCAAAATAAGCAAGTGATATTTATCACATTATCCTTAGCAAGTGCAATAATTCAGATAAACAGAATACTTGGCTCTACCGATGTCTGTGTTGGGCTGCAGACTGTGCATTTTGGCGCAACCAAGCACAGCGACTCTCCTTACGTAACTGGCCTTGTCCCGCAGACCAGCAACAATGGGCTGCTCTATGTACTCTGTCATTCCCGGCATCCTGAAAAACAAGCAAATAAAAGAAGAAAATAACTAGGTTGCAAGGTGACTGCTAGGGTGTTGTTAGGTTGTTGTTGTTGTGTTGTTCTGAATGGTCTCTAGGTTGTTGCTAAGCGATTCTTAAGATGTCCTGGGTGCTTGCTAGTTTATTACAGTGTTCTGAACGGTTGGTAGGGTGTTGCTAAGGTGTCTTGGTTGATTGCTAGGGTGTTGCTAAGATATTGTTGTGAAGTTCTGGGTGGTTGCTAGGTTGTTGTTTGTTAGGGTGCTAGAAGCCAAATTGTTGCAGTGTTGTGGAACGTTGCTGGGACATATCTTGGCTGTTGTTGTGGTGTTCTGGATGGTTGCTAGGTGATTACTAGGGTGTCTTGGATGGTTTTTATATGGTTGATAAGGTGTTGCTACGCTGTTGTTTTTGTGTCCTGAATGCTTGCTAGGGTGTCTTGTGTGCTTGCTCCATATTTTTAGGAGTATCCTGGGTAGTTACTAGGGCGTTCCTTGTTAGAGAGTAGCAAGGTCAACTGTTGCAGTGTTTGTTGCTGAGGCACTGTTTGAATGTTGTCGCTGTGTTCTGGGTGGTTGTTAAGTGACTGCTAAAGTGACCTGGGAGGTTTCTAGGGTGTTGCAAGGCTGATTGTTAGGGCATTGTTAATGACTCCTAGTGTGTCTTGGATGGTTGCTAGAGCATTGCTTTTTAGGGTGTTGCTGGGCTGATGTTGGCTAGAGTGAAGTGAAGTGCCCTTGGTAATTGTTCCTGTGTGGTTGCTAGGATAATTGATAGGGTGTTGCTAAGATGTTGTTACAGTGTTCTAAGGTGTCCTGGGTAGTTGCTAGGGTGTTGCTTGTTAGAGTGTAGCAAGGCAAACTGTTAGTGTTTGTTGCTGAAGTATTGTTTGAATGATGTCACTGAGTTCTGTGTGGTTGTTAGAGGGTTGCTAGGGAGTATTGGATGGTTGCTAGGGCATTGCTCGTTAAGGTGTTGCGGCTGTTGTGGAATTCTGAATGGTTGCAAGGGTGTTGCTAAGTGATTGCAAAAGTGTCCTGGAAGGCTGCTAGGGTGTTTCTTGTAAGCATGTTGCAAGGCTGACTGTTGTGGTGTTCTGGATGGTTGTTAGGGGGTTGTTACGTGACTGCTAGGTTGTCTTGGATGGTTGCTAGGCTGTTGTTATGTTCTGAATGCTTGCTAGGGTTGCTGAGTGATTGCTAGGGTGTCTTGTATGGTTGTTAGGGTGTTGCTTGTTATGGTGTTGCAAGGCTGACTGTTGCAGTGCTCGTTGCTGATGCATTGTTTGAATATTGTCACTATATTCTGGGTGGTTGTTAGGGTGTCTTGGATGGTTGCTAGGGCGCTGCTTGTTAAGTTGTTGCTATGCCATTGTTGTAGAATTTTGAATGGTTGCAAGGGTGTTGCTAAGATGTTGTTGCAGTATTCTGGGAGGTTGGTAAGTTACTACTAAGTGATCACTAAGGTATCCTGGGTAGTTGCTAGGGCGTTGCTTGTTTGTTGCTGTGGCACTGTTTGAATGTTGTTGCCATGTTCTGGGTGTTTTTTAGGGCATTGTTAATGACTCCTAGTGTGTCTTGTATGGTTGCAAGATCATTGCTTGTTAGGGTGTTGCTAGGCTGCTGTTGTGTCCTGAATGCTTGTTAGGGTGTCTTGTGTGGTTGCTAGGATGTTGCTTGTTAGGGTGTTGCTAAGATGTTGTTGTGGTGTTTGGTATGGTATTGCTAAGTAATAACTAAGGTGCCGTGAAAAATGCACATCTATGATATTCTGGGTCTAGACAGACAAAAAGAACATACAAACCTGAAGTTGCACATGTTCCTCAGGGCCAACCCTCGCACCATGGGATTGGGATCAGCGCAGTCCTTACGGAGCGTGTTGATGGCCAGCAGCGCCAGGTCAGGCTTGTCACTGGCATAGGTGCACATGTACAGATAAACCAGCTTCTTCTGAGCAATGTCGACTGTAGCACTGGCTTTCACCATGTCCATAAATAAAGCTGAGACATCCAGACCCTGTGTCATGTACCTTCAAATAAACAACATTTCACAAGTTCTGTCTAATTAGCTACAGTGGAATTATCTAATTATGATTATTATTATAATCTAATTATGGTGGATATCAAGATGTGCAGTATAATAAATAATGAATTAAATGTTGTTCTGTTTCTCATAGAATCTGCTGTTGTTGCAGCTTCATAAGGCTTGAAAAATATGCGTTACAGACTACTTTATGATAATTTTTAATTCAGGGATTCCCACACATTTTTAACCAACAAATTTCCACGACTTTTCCATGAACCAGTCACATGTGACTACTGGATAATAATTACTGAATAAGAAATATTTTTGATTTTATTTGCTAATAAGTCATTCAAACTGATTTGTTTGTTTAACGCCATTCCAGTTTCTGTGGCTATTTTCATGGTTTCAAACAGAACAATTTGCTAACATTACTATGTCTTGCAAACAATTTAAATTCTACACACCACTGTACACAAGCAATATCTAACTGCCACATTATTTACACTTTTTTAACATTTTATTAATTTCAATAATGATTCAGGCATGGACATACTATTTTAACAGTGGATATTAATAGTGGATATGATATTAACAGGTTTTCCATGATTGTTTGGTGCTTTTTTGGTGGTTGACAACTCCAGTCCCCATTCACTTTCATTGTATGGAATGTAGCAATTTGAACATTCTGCTAAATATCTAGGTTTCTGTTGCACGGGATAATATCAGGGATAGTATCTTTTTCATTTTTGGGTAAGCAATTTGTTTGTCCTTTTGAAAACTGTCTCCTTCATTAAAAACAAGGTGATCACTTCACGGACCTGATGACTTTGGTGATGTAGTTTTTGTACCGGAGACGGTCTGCTTGCACATTTGGATTGGACAGAGCTCGCTTGAGCTCTTTTACCATCTCCTCCGAGCCAAAATAAGGCATTGTGGGGGTTCCTCAGGTGCCTGCCACAAAAGCAGAGGAACACAGTCTGAATAAACTCAACTTAAACTCTATTTCCTCCTTCCTTGTGAACATGCATCTATTGTGATGTAATGTAATTATTCTCCAGTGATGTCTTCTGGTTTGTGCCTAATCATAATAACAGTCTGAGTCAGTCTGACAGCACAATAACACACAAATTAAATCATCTCCACCAAAACAATTAATAATCAATCAATCCTAATTAATGTCAGCCTGACAGTACAGTAACAGACCAACATATATATAAAGACCGGAATATGATTTTATACACTGCCATTGCACTTGTTGTTTCAGCTTTTATGGAGCGCGCATCTATTAAGCAATAGATTTATCATCTCCATTTCTAAAAGTACAAATACGCTTTTTGCACACACAAAGGGCGAGTAAGACATACGTATGTAACATACCTCCTGTATCACTTTAAAAACAGTAAATCAACATACAATCATCTAAAAATAACAGTGAGAACTGAATATTAGAATCCATCGGAGCGTATTTATGTCAATCAGGAAGCGTGAAGCCGGAAATCAAAATCAGCTATTTACTTCCTCTCAAACATGTTCTAAAATTTCAAATTAAAAGCCTTTTGATTTTTTTGAGGGAAAAAACATACTGATACAACATACATAAACAAATATTTTATTTACCCTAAATATTATATATTTACCATAAATATTTCAATAAGTATAGACAATCTAAACTTTGCTATAAGCTATAAACTCTCTTTTTCCATTTTAAAATGTTGTTTAAATAACGTACGTAACGTTGTACTCAACAGCCCCTTTCTACACTTCTACACTTACTTTTTTCTTGATAAATAGTTAACCTTGAGAGAGGATGTAAAAGAGCTGAATTCAGGGGCTGAATTAAAATGAGAACTATATATTTTTTAGCTTATTTTAATGCTTGTTTTGAAGTTGGAAATTAGAAGTTTGCTCTATTTTCTGTAAATTCACTCATATTTATTCATATTATTATTATCCATAGCACTGTAAATATGTGTAATCTGTATGTATTTTATATATATTCTGACTTAAAAAGTCTTCATATGTTTTCATATTTTTATTTTTTCATTTTTATTTGTTTATATGTGTGCACTGGAAGTTTCATTGCCAAGTAAAAGTCCTTGTGTGTGCAATCACACTTGGCAAATACGAGGTCTTTTATTTTGGCATGCGGTCGGTGCGGTCATTCTGATTAGCAGTCGCTAGGCGGCGCTGGACAGCAGCTGCAGCGAGTCGTGAGCGGCGCGTGTGTGTGTGTGTGAGAGAGAGTGTGTCAGCGAAAGATTTCTGAAGATGCTGGAGAGGTAGCTAGTCTGACGGGATGGCCGGAATCATCAAAAAGCAGATCCTGAAGCACCTGTCCAGGTAAGATGCGCGCGGAGCGTCGTGTTTTGATTAGTGTCAGTAGTGTTAGTGTTCGCCTCAGATGACTGACTGACTGACTGTTATCACGGGACTCACACACTCACACCGCTGATAAACAACACTCACACACACCCGCTCAGTGGAGCAGAACCTGTGCCTGATATATCTGGCATTAATATAAATGCATATTTATTGTCAGTTAGCTGACAGGCTAATGGACTGCAGCATCACTGCTGGAATAACACAAGTCACCTGCACACAAAAACACCAACACTGGGCCTGTGACAGAGCAGTGTCACGCTAAACTTGCCTTTTCTCTTTAGGTAAACTCGGGAAACTCATACTTAGCATGACAGTTAATATACAAGTACTTTAACCAGAAATAAAAAGTAGTATTCAACAGCGATATTAGCTTGTTTTTGTCTTTGATTTGTGCTTATTTACTCAGTGCGTGGTTATGGGCTGCTAAATGAAAGGTTGCAGGTTTGAATCCCGCAAGGCTGATCAATGAAATCACCTCTGTGCCCTTGATTAAAAAAACACATCTGGTGATTTTGTCCAGATGTTGGACGTCCTGGAGTTTTATTCATCAAGCACTCCTGCCAATCAAATTCTGGTCATTTCTCTGGTTTTAGGGACAGGTTTTTGACAGAAGTGTTAACTATCTAAAGATGTAGGGCCAGAAATATGTCATATTTAGGTCAGTGTTATTTTAGTATCTTTGGTAAGCAATTATAGTTTTTATTCATATTTTGAATAGGTTTGTATTATTTTTTTTTTTACATATTTCCCTTCTAATTTTAATTCTAAAATTTGAGTTAATGTTTTTAGTTTTGTAGTTGTTTATTTTTATAGTAATTTATTATTTTTTATAGATTTTATTAGATTTTTTTTACATTTTAAATATGTAAATATTTTTTTATTTCAGTTTTGGTTACTTTAGTACTGCAAGTTAAACTAAATGAAAATGTGAAGTTTTCGTTAAGTTAGATTTAAGATTACATTTTATTTTTCAAGTTTCTATGTTTATTTTTAATGTTTATTTTTATTTTTTTTAGATTAAGTTACATTTCATTTTATTTCAGGTAACTGTTTTTTAATGGTTTTAGTTTTAACAATAATAGCCATCATTTGGGTGAACTTTACCTGTAATATGTGTGTTGTAAGATGCTATACAGTAAAGACATGAGGTTTGGCTGGACTGAAAGCCCTTTGCCCTGATCCAGTTTTAGAGGAAAGGTTGTCCTGAAACAGATTTGGGCCAGGCTGATTGATTCGGTGACTACATATTACGGTAAGTCCTCATATTGGCCATAAAAAAAGTGAAGATTGTGGGTCAGGCCATCGTCTCCCTTTATCCTTGTCACTTTAAAACTTGGTTGTCTATGGGCTGTGGCATTTCTGTGGCAACACTTCAACACCCATGATGCACCGATCCATAGTCCATAGTTAGTTTTCACAAAAACCCTGGAGCTGTCAAAAGACTTTGTCCATTTACATATAGACAGATCTGGTTAAAAATCCACAAATGTATCCTTTAAGTCACTTAACCTCAGGTTACCCCAGTGCTTTTGTCCCTGTAATAAATTAACTTTTAGTCACTTTGAATAAAAATCTGCTATAATACTGGAACAGAGATATAAAAATAACACCGTAGACAGAGAGAGATTCTTCAGAAGGCTGAAGTCGTTGTACTCCAGTGTTTAGGCTCTGATTACCCAGCAGGCTCTCTGTGGGTGTAAAAACACATGCTAGTTCCTGCTGTTCTGAGTCACGGCTGAAGCTCTGCCAGCTCTCCCTTGTTCAGATCAGCCTCTCCTCCCTTCACTGAGTCAGATAGCCGTCATATTGTCATGCTTGTTCACACACACACACACACTCTCCCGGACCTTCTCCTTAGTAACGTTTACTAAGGCAAACCTCACTATTACTAAGTGGTCATACTGAGGTCAATACTGATTTTAGCAGACCTCCTCTCTAAATATCAAACTTTGACGTGCAGTTTATCATTTTTGTGCTACAGACATAAATGCCACTTTAAATGAGGTAGAGACATGCTGTTTCTTTTTCAATCATAAGTGATTAGACTTATAATTTTTGCCTGGGAGACAATAAACAAGATATAAAAATCCATTAGATTTCCATTGGAGGAGTCATATGTAGCTCTTGTATTAGGTTGCAGGTAAATTTGGCCCATTAGATTTTTGAATGGTTAGAAATACTGTTTAATCTATGGTGTTTATTATTTTTTTGTGACTTTCTCATTTAGGCTCATGAACATGCTTGTGAACACTGAAATCTTGTGGAATATGCATACACAATTTAAAACGAGATAATTTGACCGGCATATTTCATGGTTAATGGTCAATTTGGCCCTGACCATAATGATGACAGACACCCAGATTTTGAAACTAATATGAGGACTAGAGACCAGAATATCATATCAGAATAGCTTTAGCGATGTGTTGGTGACTTTTTTTTCATATGATGCGATTTCAAGTTTTCCTTTCTCTTTCTCTTGTTACAAGCTGTTCGTGAATAGATAAGATCCCTAACGTTGCAAAGACTAACGTCTCAAACCCAAAGAGATATTCTTTATAAAAGTTAAGACTCGTCCACGCCCTCCTAAAACGGCTCGTTCTAACACGCCCCCACATGTCTACGTCACTGTGTGGGAAGATTTGCATAACGCCGCCCAAATGTTCACGCAAAGAAAGACACAACATAATGTTCTTTTTTAGCAACGTCATATGACCCCTTTAACAGTAGTCAGTGTGTGAGTGGCACTGAACAGCCAACACTGCTGAAGTAGATTAAGCTGCTTCTTCATCTGCTAATTGATACGGATACTGGACAATCCTGCTGGAGTAACTTGGGGTTAAGTGCTTTATTCATATGATAGCTCGTGGCTCACTCCATCTGGGGATTGAACTAGCAACCTTCTGCTTCTCAGGCTGTAGAGACACCACAGGCTCAAAAGTGAAGTTTTGTGCCCTTTAATCCATGTCGGTCAGCACTGAGGCCTTGAAATGCAGTTACACATGCATTCCTCCCCAAAAACAGAATAAAAATATTAATGACTCTTCTTGCACTCTCCCTAGAATGAGAACATCCTTCCCCCAGTACCACGTGCAACTCACTGAAAAATGGTGGTTTGTGATTGTGTCATAAACTAAAGGCTATTGGCTATTAAAAAAGACAAGCAATGTGTCCAGCCTAGGAACTAAAAGAAGGAAAATTGAGATGATTTCCTGAGGTTTTTAACTGTTACACCCCAAGGCTTTGATGTTGCACTCTTGCAGAAACTGTCCTTTTATAAGAATGGGTTGTTTTGTCAAGTTTTTTGGGAAGGAAGCAGAGCCGATCCTCACTAAACGCAAAATATGCTAGCTGCGTAGGGCGCCCGAAACACCAGGGGGGGCCCCCTTGCTCTCAAAGATGATTTAATTTTAGTTTCGTTTTTGAATTTGGCCAGCGGTTATGAAAACATGAATGATCATTTCTTTAAATGAGGTGCGCTGTTGCCCTTTCTACATAAAAATCAGTCAAATCATGTAATGTGAATGTCGTACAGTCTTGCTCCGGACTAAAAAAAACGAGTTGAAAGCGTACCGACAAATGCGTTTCATTCATTCGTTCATAACCACTCAGAGGAACTACAGGAGCATAAGAGAAGGGGACTAAATAATGCTGGTGTGAGAAGATATGACCAGATAGACGTGATCCAGCCCTCTTACCCATTCATGTGTGCTGTTAGTGTGTGTATTATTATACTCCGAAGTAGGACTGGGTGGCATATGAAATATTCAAGATGATTTTGCTGGCAATATAAAATGAAACATTATGAATAACGTGATGTTTTTTAAGCACTTTTATTGGCTGTTAAATTTCATTGGACTGTGTTCCCCAACTCTTTTCCTGGAGGCACACGAGCAGTACAGATTTTGGATGTTTATTTCTGGTCTTGAAGTCTCTACTAATGAATTGTTGAGTTGATCAGGTGTGTTTGATTGGGAAGAGTTTGTAGTTTTTGAGTACCTCCAGGAACAGGGTTGAAAAACTAAGTGTGTCATTAGAGTAGTAGGGATTAGTTCCCTATCGATACTTCACTCGTACTACGTCGCTAGACGCTTATGGGAAAAACTCCTTTTTCTCCGAGGACTGAAGACTTATTCAATCACGCAGTGTAACTGCACGGCCATTGGTTCGTGCTTCCCTTCGCGCCCTCCCGTTTTCTTCCTCCAAAGGAATCTGTGAGGAAAAAACAGCGGGGCAAAGGGACTAAGCGCTCGGCCACGAGCGAGCTCACGCCGGCCCAGATCCCGCGCACCTCGCCCCCGCCAAGCAGAGAGGATTCTCACGTTCTCTTTGAACACGCAGACCAGCGTGCCTCGGTTGATGCGAGCGACATGGTCTCGTTTGGTCCCGTAGACAACGAGCTATTAGATGACAGCATGTCTCTAATAACATCAGACGCGGAGGAGATGTCGGGCTCTATTGCTGACCCCGCCCCTTCATCGTCTGCCGAGCCCAGTGACTCTAAGCCAGGGATGGATGCCGAACTTTTCCGCATTCTCTCTAAGGCAGTTGAGGAACTGGGATTGGAGTGGTCTATGCCGGAGGAGCCCACTCGTAGCCGTCTAGACGAATGGTTCCTGCCTGGGCGCCGCCAGGCCCCTCGTCAGCGAGCCTCTCCATTTTTCCCGGAGGTCCATGATGAGCTTACGAAGTCGTGGCGTGCTCCTTACTCGGCCCGCCTTCGCTCTAACTCTTCTTCTGCTCTCTCCTCAGTGGACGGCACTGAAGAAAAGGGTTACGAGAGGATGCCTTCTCTCTACGAGGCAGTGGCTGCGCACCTTTGCCCGCCCACTGCCACTGGATGGAAAGCGAAGGTCGCTCACCCCTCCAAACCTTGCAGGACGACTTCTGCCCTCGCTGGACGAGCGTATTCCTCCGCCGGGCAGGCCGCCTCAGCTCTACACTCCATGGCTGTGCTCCAG